ATGGCATCCTGGGGTGTATCAGAAGTGGTGTCATCAGTAGATCGAGAGAGGTTCTTCTTCCCCTCTACTCTGCCCTCTTGAGACTGCATCTGGAATATTGTGTTCAGTTCTAGGCCCCTCAGTTCAAGAAGGACAGGGGATTGCTTAAAAGAGTCCAGTGCAGAGCCACAAGGATGATGGATGGAGTGGAGCATGTCCCTTATGAGGAGCGGCTGAGGGAGCTGGGTCTCTTTAGCTTGGAGAAGAGGAGACTGAGGGGTGACCTCATTAATGTTTATAAATTTGTAAGGGGCGAGTGTCAGGAGGAAGGAGCCAGGCTCTTCTCAGTGACAGCCAATGACAGGACAAGGGGCAATGGGTGCAAGCTTGAGCATAGGAGGTTCAATCTGAACATGAGGAAAAACTTTTTTACTGTGAGGGCTACAGAGCACTGGCCAGGCTGCCCAGAGAGGTTGTGGAGTCTCCTTCTCTGGAGACATTCAGAACCTGCCTGGATGTGTTCCTCTGCAACCTAGTGTAGGTGATCCTGCTCTGGCAGGGGGGTTGGACTGGATGATCTTTCGAGGTCCCTTCCAACTCCTAAGATTCTGTGATTCTGTGACTGGAAGACCTGCCATATGAAGAAAGGCTGAGAAAACTGGGCCTGTTCAGCCTTGGGAAGAAAGACTTGGAGGAGACCTTATTACCAGTACACAAAGGGTGGCTACCAAGAAGATGGAGACTCCATTTTCACAAGGAGTCACACAGAGAAGACAAGGGGTAATAGACATAAGTTGCTTCTGGAAAGATTCTGATTGAACTCCAGAAGAAAATTTTTTACCATGAGATCAATATTTTTTACCATGAGATTGGAATAATCCCCCAGGGGAAGTGGTGGATTCCCATACATTGGTCAGTTTTAAGAGTCAGCCTGACATTTAAACTATGCTTTTACCTTGAAAGGTTGGACAAGATGATCCTTGTGGTCCCTTCCAATCTGGTCTTCTAGGATTCTATAAATCCTCAATGCAGATAGTATCTGAGTTGGGACAGTTTGGATATAAATGCTTTGGCAGCTTGAAAAACATACTACACACCTCAAATAGCTGTATTCTGTTGGATTATGAGAAAATAAAAACATTTTATCGCAACAGTAGTACTGGTTTCATAGTATCCTAACTTATTAATCTGATATTTTTACAAATAAGATTTTACTTGATTTGATGATAAATTCTTTCTTTCTGGCTTACCATCTCCTTTTTCCTTCAAAATTATATTGCTGTTTTAGAAGTATTTATTAGGCTTTGTTAGTTAACATGAATATATATAATAGAGCTTATTTGCTTTTTTTCTGCATTGTAATCATTAGGTTGTGTTGTGAATGGCAAAAATATTCAGCTTTTTAATTTTCATTAGTCCTCCAATACTGTAAAGAAGTTACTTCCAAAGAGTTTTTATGTACAAATCAAGGTTTTTTTAAAACTACACTTCCCTGAACAGATGACCATTTTGATATGGCTCTTATGCTTGTCTTTATCCTGTGAAGTTGAAGTAGCTTAAAGAATTTTAGTTTCTTGGTTTTTGGATTCTTGTTTGTTTTGTTTCTAACATTAATTTCATTAACTGGTACATTTGGAAGCAAGTGCCTCTTCTCTCTCTGCATGTCTTTTCTGATCTAGAAATAGAATGTCTGGGAGGGGGTTGCTTTTACGTTTGTTTTGCAATCAAGTCTAATATTGTTTTGGAACTTTCCTCTTCTTTTAGATGAGAATAAAAATGTTGCAGATGGACTATATCAGAAGGTGAAAATACTGTGTTGGGTCATGACTGGACCTCAAAATCTAGAAAAGAAAGCCAAGCATGTTAAGGCCACTTGGGCCCAACGTTGTAATAAAATACTTTTTATGAGCTCTGAGGAAAATAAAGACTTCCCGGCTGTGGGCCTAGAAACCAAAGAAGGCAGGGACCAACTGTACTGGAAGACTATTAAAGCTTTTCAGTATGTATATGACCATTATTTTGATGATGCTGATTGGTTTATGAAAGCTGATGATGATACATATGTTATATTGGACAATTTGAGATGGCTTCTCTCAAAATACAGTCCTGAACAACCAATATACTTTGGAAGAAGGTTTAAGCCTTATGTGAAACAGGGCTACATGAGTGGAGGAGCAGGATATGTTCTGAGCAAAGAAGCTCTGAGGAGATTTGTTGCTGCATTTAAAATGAACAAATGTTCTCACAGTTCCTCAATTGAAGACTTAGCACTAGGAAAATGCATGGAGATCATTAATGTGGAAGCAGGAGATTCTAGGGATACAAGTGGTAGAGAAACTTTTCATCCCTTCATTCCAGAACATCACTTAATCAGAGGTTACCTACCAAAAACATTCTGGTACTGGAATTATAACTATTATCCTGCTGTAGAGGTAAGTCCTTAGGAACCTGGTACCCATTTTATGAAGTATATCTTATGATGTGTATGAGCGTGTGTGATGTGTGAATTACCAGTTTAATAGCAGCTCAGTATATTTTAGAAAAGAAGATTTTATTTTTTTTTGTGATATCCTGTGATGCAGCTGTGTGTAGATGTCTTAAATACACTAGTCATCAGGTAGAAGTTAAGAACTTAATGTTTCAGAAAGGCTAGTGAATCTTAAATTATTATTGCAGTTTTGCTATGTTCTGTGGACAGCAAAAAAGAGTAAACTTTTTTTATACATTTGTTTGGTGTCACCACTATTACTTTCTTTGCCAAGTTACTGTTCTGTTTTGTTCCCTCATATCTCACACATGGTGTCCCTAACTTCTCCTCTAGCCACCCAATGACCAGTATGCAGTGAGAAGCAAGACCAGTGTGGTTCATTCCATCCTGCTGAAAGGGAAGGTGGCTCTGATACACCTTTGTCTTCTACCCAACAGCAAACTTTGCATAAAACCTACAGAAATAAAAGTAATTTTGAGGCTTGCTCATGGTTGTAGTTGGTTAACATTGGCTAAGAGATGCTCAAGTTACTGGAGGGGCTGGTGGGTAAATGTTATGTGTGACTACTGCCTGTGAGTCTTTTTTCTTTCAAATGGAGATGTGCTGTAGTATACTTCTCTTATCACTGATAACTGTGAGTGGTGTTACCTGGGTTCAACATGGGTAGCTGCTCTCCCTTCATATTTTTACTGAAGGTTATTAAAATGCACATGTAAGTAAATTCCACTGAAATAATGATAGATGGATAAACATTACCTAGAAGTGAAATAAAAACATGACCCAAACAAGGAAATATTTTCTATGAATTCTTGTCTACCTTCTGTAGAAGTGGAGGCAAATGTGAGAGCTGGCAAAGCTAATTTAAAGAAAAAATTCTTCTGTTGTAGCAACAAAAATAGCATGTAGAAGCTGGAACATTCTTACTGCAAGAAATTCAGGTTGCCCTTTGTATTCCACATCTGAAATCTGGTTTAAAAAAAAAAAAAAGGTGGGGTAGCAGGGTGCTACTTGATATAAAAGTGATCTGGAGGTATTCTGCATTGTAAACTTCGATGATCATATAACCTGTGTTGTGCGTTTTTTTTTAGGAGTATAATTTCACTTTTAAAGGTATTTTTCAGCAGGTTTTGAGATCAGTGTAAGTGGCCAAAATCAAGAGTAGGATGTATGATTTTTTACACAGTAAAACTGGAAAAAATGTCTAGTTATTCAGTAGACTCTTTTCATTTTAAAGCTTCTATTTTTATACTTGTATTCAGCAGCTAGAGCACTTCCATAGCTTAAACCAGCTCCAGTACTGCATTTAGTGTGTCAGGATGCAGCAGCTTTAGCTGTGGTTGCAGTTTGGGGGTGGCTGAGCTGTGGACAGTTATATCTGTAACTGAGGCAGTGGTGGTGAGGATCCATAATGGGAATCACATATTTAATCCTGTCCTATAGTATTTGTGTTTGGATAGAGACTACTTCGTCTGGTATCAAAACCAAATTATACTGGTCAAATGATTCTGTTATACTGGTCTATGATTATTTGATTCTATGAACTTAGTAAGTATTGAAAGAATAACAATTACGTAACAGTTGTTCCTTCCAATGTTTTACTACGATCTTGAATCTTAGTCCCAGCTAGAGATGGAATAATGGCAGGCCTGCAGTCACACCTGATAACCCACTCCTCTCCCCCCATCAAACTGTGTTCCAGAAAAGTGTTTTAAATTTGAGCTAAGAAGTTGTAACTAATGGGTTAGCAATGATCTTTCAGCTCCTCAAAATGCTTAATAACATCAATGAAATTAATAAACTTAAAAAAAACAAAACAGTTCCAAAATGATTTGTTACAGCTTTCTTTAGGTAGGAAGTTAGATATTGACAGTTTTGCCAAACTCTATAACGTGTGAACACACACACACACACACACACACACACACACACACACACACACAGAGTGGTGCATGCACACACACATTTGGGTTATATACTCTGGATGGATGCTGTCATGAATAACAAGCCTGTATTGTTTCTTATATAACTGCATTGCATTTAGACATGCTTGCTTCTGGTGCTTCTTGTTTAAACACCAGCATAAAAAAAGTATAGAAAAGCAAAAAACCTCTGACATTAATGAGGACAGCTAGTTTTTTTCACTGGCTTGATTACAGAAGCAAAAGACTTTGTCCAACTTGGAAATCTAGTCTTGGAAAGATGCTTTGGCACATATGTCTGATACATTTTGCTTGCCTAACATAAAGTTTTGAAGTATATGAATGACTGATGATAGTGAATTTTTTACCATGAAGTCAAGTATGTGTTTGAGTTCTTCCTGGATCTTTAATTGAGGGTATACTTTGCAAATCTTACAGATGATTTTGACTTTTTTTTGCATTTTAGGGTCCGGGGTGCTGCTCTGATCTAGCAGTTTCATTCCACTATGTTGATTCTGTGACTATGTATCATTTGGAATATTTGATTTATCATCTCCGTCCATATGGGTATTTGTATCGGTACAATCCTGATTTGGCAAAGAATCCAGAAGAGCAGAAGAAAAATGAAGTACTGGAGGATAATCAAAAGCTAAAGCAAAAAAATTCTGAGAAGTAATTGAACTTTGAAGAAAACAAAAAGAAACTAGTACAGTGAATAAGAGTCTCCTCAAACTCCTGCATGAAGCTTGTGGACTAGAATTACGGTGATTCTTATTTCAGAAATCTCATTGGCAGTACTTCTGTCACTGTGTGTACACCAGAGTCTGGTGCTGGCTCTGACTGTTTGGGACAGTGTGACCTTGCAGCCCTGCTCATGAAGCAGTGAAAAGCTGTGAAATACGAGGTGGTTCTGCTACACTAATACCTGGAAGAATTTGTATAGAAAGCCATGGCTGGGTTCAAAGATAATCATACAGTATTTCTGTTACTTTTTCTGTTCTCCTCTATTTCCTTCCAGATGTTCTCTTAGGTCAGTTCTGATGTTAGAAATTGGATGCTGCACAGTCAAATACTTCTTGATGGCTTTCTCTAGCATTCTCAGTGTGTTGAAGTTACTGTGTGTACCTTGCCCTGTAAGGAAGGGAATGACGTGATAATAGCGTCTCAAGTCTGCTTTGCCTTAACACCAGACTGGTTATTATGAATACACAGAGATCAAACCAAAAGATTAATCTAAATTAATCTTTCAGAAATTGAATTCACTGCTATGAATGATTTTTGAAAAAAATAACTCTCTATTGTACAAAATTATATGAAGTTGGATCACTACTATTTTAGGGAGAAACCCAGAAATAGTCACTGTTGTTTAAATTGCTGACGTGATGCAAGCTGCTTACATGTTTGCCTGTGGCTTTTTCTTCTTTATTATTAACTTATCCTATTGGTTGAATGGATAAAAAAAATAACTTGGGATTTCTCAGCATAAGATAAGGTAGATGCTTTTTGAAATAGAAGTCTCTCTTCCATCACACCTTCCATGTAAATCAGAAAGAATAGTATCTTAGCAGAGTTACAATGGCATTATAACAACCTGGTTTCAGCCAGTGTTATAATTTGTTTCCATTTGATTTTCACATTCCTATACTTTGAGATTGTGGAGTTACCTTATTCGTTAGAATTTTACAGGTGCAACCAAGTCTTATTTTAAAACTGCAGCAAAGCCGATTTGACTGCTTCCCTAC